ACATTTCAGAAAATGCCACTTCTGACTTCCATGCTTGTTATTACAGTACCCACATGCTGTTGGTAGGAATACATTACTGATTGCTGCATTACAGGCAAGGAATAATGCTCGTGTTGTCTTTTCTGGATCAGTGGATTTATTCAGCGATGAATTTTTCCAGTCACCTGTGCAAAAGGCAACTGCTGGATCACAAAAGTGAGTGTAAATAAGAAAACAATGGGTTCAATTTCGACCAGTCTGTCTATTCTCGTCCTCCATGGCCATCTCTGTCAATTATATAATGTTAATTATCCAATTCATTCCTAGGTATTCTTAGTCCCTGTTAGGCTTAGATGGAAACATGGTCTTGCATTTTTGGGGTTTCTTCATGTGTAAGCACCCATCCCATAGGCATGTTTCTCAAGCATGCCTTGACACATTTTTGTAAAATATTTGGTACAAAGTTACATAATGGGTTGCATGTTCTTTTCATTACAATTTATCCAGCTGGCGACCATTTTTGTCAAGAAAACCTAAATTGACAGGTTACTTGGGCATGCCCTGGCCCGACAGGTTACTTGGGCATGCCCTGGCCCGACAGGTTACTTGGGCATGCCCTGGCCCGACAGGTTACTTGGGCATGCCCTGGCCCGACAGGTTACTTGGGCATGCCCTGGCCCGACAGGTTACTTGGGCATGCCCTGGCCCGACAGGTTACTTGGGCATGCCCTGGCCCGACAGGTTACTTGGGCATGCCCTGGCCCGACAGGTTACTTGGGCATGCCCTGGCCCGACAGGTTACTTGGGCATGCCCTGGCCCGACAGGTTACTTGGGCATGCCCTGGCCCGACAGGTTACTTGGGAATATTACTCACTTAATATAAACATCAAGTTACTGATGTTATTTTGTTTGTTTTTTGTAATTTGATTCAAAATAACCAATAGTGGCCATGTTGTGTTAATTTTTATGTGTTCTTAATCATTTCTCACACTTGACAGATTTTGTTCAAAATAGCTACAAAGACAAGATATAATATATGCACAATCTGATTCTAATGATTCTGTATTGATGTGCTGCTACGTTTAACCCTTTTCTTGTACTCGTGTATTGACTTGATTAAAAAAGGGTTACTGTATCTGAACATTACAATCATAGATATGGCAAATCAGCTAATGAAGAGGTCGCCATTGCTCTGTCTCAGTGGGTATTTAAAGAACATGGTGTTCTGAGAGTTGGTAGAGTCAAACATCACAGAGTTGGAGAAAGTACCCCACCAGTAGCATACACAGTAGAAGATGACGTGGTGAGTTTACAATTATAGTATTTATAAGTTGTATGTTACGAAAATCTCATGTCCAGTTCTTTGTCTTCATCAGTATCTTAACTGATTGCATCACAGAACGCAATGATCACTTGAAACTGATTGCATCACAGAACGCAATGATCACTTGAAACTGATTGCATCACAGAATACAATGATCACTTGAAACTGATTGCATCACAGAACGCAATGATCACTTGAAACTGATTGCATCACAGAATACAATGATCACTTGAAACTGATTGCATCACAGAACGGAATGA